AATTCTCACATGTTTTCTGGACTCTGCCTCATTCATATGTTAACGTCGCCCAGGTCCAAATGCAGACGCTGCACAAACGCACACAGGTACAGCACGCAGGGTCTCTGACGTCAAGCGTACATGAGAGGAGTGGCCCTTCTGTGGAGCGCGGCCATTCAGACGGATCAGCGCTTTGGGACAAAACCCTGGGACAAAGGGACGTGTTTCAGACTGACCGGTCATGACCCCAGTTCACTGCACACTGTAAATTGTGATGAGTAAACCTTAGTGAAAAAAATTGCGACACAAATTGCCTTAATTTAATTGAGTAACATTTACTACCATTAACAATGGGTAATTTAAGAAAATTAAATCAATATTATTCAAATACATTCAAAATACTGTGGTTAGTGGCTGTGGGAAGTCATATACAGTCAGATAATCGTGTGTTCTATTTGAAATCATGACATAATTGAGCCGGTCTGGCGGCCCAGGAATCCAGGGGAACTGGAGGGTGTTTGGACAAGAAGAATGGCCAGCTTTACCATCAGAGAGGATTTCAGAGAGAGAAAAGAGAGTAGAGAGAGACAGACCAGATCGAGAGACTAGAGATTGAAGCCAGAGAGTGACCAGCTAGAGAGAGGGACCAAAGAAAGACCAGAGAGATTAGAAAGAGAGAGACCAGAGCGAGACCACCGGGACAAACCATAGAGGAGAAAGAACCTCATTCACAACTACCACAAAAGACTGTCATAGAAATGAAAAGGTAACTGGGTGATAGATTTTTCTGATCAATGTTTGGAGAGCAGTATAGAGTAGAGTGGAGTACAGCTGGTGGAAACAGGGTATAATGTACAGATATAGGAGCTTCACACAATTCACATTATTTCCAAAACATGGCCTTTTTTTGTTCTTCTACATTTTCTGCCTGTGTGTGTCTGTGTATGTGTGTGTACGTGTGTGTAAGTGTGCGTGTACATGTGTGCGTGCGTGTGTAGCCTCTATCAAGTGACCCCCAGTGTCAAAAGATCTGTCTGCAGCAGCACTTTTCTGACCACGGCCCCCGGTATCTCTCCCTAACCCGTCCCCCAACTGCCAAACAATGCCTGCAACACAATCCTATGCAATCCAACTGGCCCCTGAGTGTCCCATAGACCTGACCCTGGATCTTTCTGGCCTGGACTTTACCATTGACCCTAAACTTGAAACCGGTGCTGCGTCCAGATCTTTGCAGACGGTTCCTGGATGGTGTTTGGACACAGACACGGTGCAGGTTTGATAACGTGACCGTATTCAGAGTGTGTGAGGACCGAACAGACAGGAGACGGGTTCATGAGCCGATAATAACATTAATTTATTAGAAATTGGGTTTTGCAATGTCCTACTGTATGAGTGTGGTAGAAAAACTACGGGAGGGTTCTCTGTATTTGTGCTTGTTGGTTGTGTTTTGTGTGATGTATAACACAAAATCACGTGGTGACTATAATATTATATAATATAATTTAACCATGTGGGGAATTGCTTGTTGTTGTGGCTGATGGATTGTTGATGATAATATTACTATTGGAGATAATAACTCAATACATTTAGACAGTTGATGAAGGAGCGTGCATTTGCAGGTTCAAATTCTGCTGATGGTGCAGGAATGTGCTTTTGTGCTGTTTTGTGCCCAAGCTCCTTTTCGTTTATAAAGTTGAGGAACAAAATTCATTCTATTTTTTCTATCGGTGGGAGTGGGGCCAAAACAGCCACCAGGGAGTTTATTTGAAACTCTCTTATTCAAAGAGCTTTGAAGCTGGACTACCTGACTATGAAAGCACAAGAAATTAACAAGCAATATGAAACTTAGAAACCCGTTTCCACCAGCCATACTCAACTCTACTCTGCACTATTCCACTCTACATGTATGGACATTTTCTTCTGTGTGTGCTTTATATTTTTCATGTGTTTTAACTGTTGATTCTCTGATCTGTGTTGGTGATTTCAATGGTTCTGTTAAGTCCTCTGAGATGACTTCTGTTGTGACCCAGGGCTATTGTAGCATATACGTTACCCAATAGCTAATAAGGACTAGTAGCTGGATATATAAGTAATGTAGTAATGTACTTTAGTTTGTTATCTCAAAATGCTAACTAGGAAAAGAGATAGATTTAGGCTAGTATCAGAAAACTCTGGAACGACTCTGGGAGAGAGGAGGCAGAAACTGTATATACCGTTGGTTTGCACCATGTATTAGACAATTATATACAGTGACAGTGAATAACAATATAGACAGTGAAAAACATTGAATGGCCATTCATAATGATGCAATACTCGAGCAAAGATATATTTACAATACAAAAATACACAACGTTCTAGTGGACTCAGAAGTTCAAGTACTCTCAGGTAATCAAGGAACTCTGGTGTTCAAGTACTCTTAGGTATTCAAGGAACTGGTGTGCAAATACGCGACTTTAAGTTCTGTAAAGTGCGAGTGCATCCAAGTCCAAGTTCAACACAAGTAATCCCAGAGTTGGGATTCTCCAACACTGAGTGGGATCGATGGGTTTCGGAAGGAATGGGTAGTGTCCAAGGAGTAGTGTTGAGATATGACTCAGTTGTAAGGATCCCAATAAAGTGCTGTGTGCAAGAGTTCAATTATAGGCTGCGGGAGCCTCCTACCAGCCCAGGACCAGTGGTGGAGGAGGAACTCCTTCAGGGTCCAGAATCAGAGAGGTTCAGTTCCAGTGGACTCTAGCTCGCCATCACATGCCTGAACAACAGGACCATGGAAATCAATAACTTGTGTACACATAAACTCTTGTATAAATACAGCTTCTATAAAAATACTTTCATATAATCAAATGCAACTACATGTCAAAGCTTCACATATAACTTTGAATACAGGCAGAAAACCTTCAGTTAATCACATGTTCAATAATTAATAATTGTATAAATATTCATAAATCTCAATTAATCATTGTATAAATATCAATCAATAATCACAATCAATATGTAAACCAGTGTCTGGTACACTCACTCAACTTAGAGTGTGCATGTAGTAAGTGTCTCACTAGCTGCAGCTGCGCTCCACAAATGCAACTAGTAAACATACAATATAGGCTAAAAACCGCCATTAAAGTAGTTTGTTACTCTTTAACACTTGTATACATTATAAGTAAACAGTATGTGTAGGTTGTCATGACTCTTAGACAACACCGATAACTTTAAACAGTGGAGACTTGGCAAAACCACAATGCTAACTTTACTATGAAAGCCAATGGGAAATGCTAAGCTAACGCACTCAATACAAATGAATGGAGGATTCTGAAGTTAGCTCAACTCACCAATTCCGCGTGTAAACTCTGACATACGCGGCAGTTTCGTAACGCATGAGAGAAAGGCAGTCGGCTCCTGCATATTAAATGAATGACAGTAAGTTTCATGACAGTTATACATGATTTTGATGGTTAAAAACGTTACCGTACCCGCAGCACATCCAAAGCACGCTCTGCTCTCGCAAGTACTGATACTTCCGGCATAGCGGACTATATCGAACACGGATTGGGTAAACGTCTCGAACGCAATGACGTCACACTCAAAGATAAAAACCAACTCAAGATAATAGGTTGTCAAATTGACACCTGCGTTACACTATACAAGAATAAATTGTATTGTATTGTACCCTACTCTGCTCTAGTCTACTCTCCTCTACTCTGCTCTAGTCCACTTGCTCTGCTCTAGTCTACTCTACCATGCTCTATATTCTACTCTACTCTGCTCTACCCTCGTCCAAGTGCACTAGTAAGTAGAAGTAATTACTTACTACTCTGCCCTGCTCTATTCTACTCTACTCTACTTTGCTCTATTCTACTCTACTCTAGTCTACCGGGTTGCGTTTCTATTACACTTTAGTATCTTACCTAGCCACCCTACCCACAACAAACCAGCTCTACACTAGTCCACTTAACCTACTCTGCTCTACTCTATGCTACTTTACTATACACTACTCTTCTCTGCTCTACTGTACTCTATTGTACTCTACTCTACTCTACTCTATTCTACCGGGTTGCGTTTCTATTACACTTTAGTATCTTACCTAGCCACCCTACCCACAACAAACCAGTATCTGGGGAGATTCCTTGGTAATCATGGCTTCTGCACTACTTTAGTACCAGACCTGGTACCTGTTAAACAGTGCCAGTGGAACACTCCAGTCCGGTTTAGATGGAGGCGCTGCGCAGTCGTTGCAAAGCAATTAACAGAAATGACCAGGCTCCTTATGCAAATTCATACGAGTTTAAAAAACGATGTACTTCTAGTGCCCGGCCAGTAGTAGGCAGAGAAACTTTACAACACGACACACGTGGCCCCAGCCCCCCCAGCTGTATATTTACTTCCTCAACAACATCCTCCTTGGGCAAACTACAAACTACAGCTTCGAAAGGTTTTGTTTGGACGAACGAAGGAGTAGAATTGTCCTCCGTGTAGCGCTCGAAGCACACGTCAGTGTACCCGCCGCCCTTGTTATGGAAGTGGGGTTCAGAGCAGGCAGAGAATTCCCACCTTTTTCTTCACGCGGGTGTGAAAGAGCTCCCCGCTGAGCAGCGTATCTGAGGCTGAGTTTATACTGAGACGCTGCGCAGACGTTTCCAGGCTATAAAAACGATGTAGTTCTAGCGCCTGGCCAGTAGTGTGCAGATAAACTTTACAACACACACACGACTCCCAGCCCCATTAAATAAGACTTTACAGTCTATGGGCAAGACACTGAGTTGCGGGTCAGTGTCTCACCTAACGGGCATGCACACATGCAGGGAGACTTGAGTCCGATTAACAGGAATTTCTTGCTTACGTCCCTCTCATCACCCAAAACATATCACTTGTGTGGTTTTCTTGTTTGCGCTCATCCTTTCTGTTAAGTAACTTTGTTGGTAAAAAGAGAAGGGTTTGTGTTTTTGCTCAGACCCATGAAAAATTAGAGGGAACATTGATAGAGACAGGTGTGTTCCTGCAGCAGTAAGTGAGCAGCAGTGATCAGGATGTGGAGGTGGGTCTATTCCATGGTCCTTATTCTCCTGGTGTCCGCTGAGGACTTCGACTGGACCAACAACCAGCGGACCTCCTTCTACTACGGGACGTTCCCCACTGGTAAGGAACACACACACAGACACCCTATATTTTCTGGTCTCTGTCTGGTCTCTTATTTCTACTTCTCCTCCTCCGTGTGCAGGGTTCTCGTGGGGGGTGGGCAGCTCGGCCTATCAGACTGAAGGAGCCTGGAATATCGATGGAAAAGGCGCCAGTATCTGGGACGCCTTCGCTCATAAGAATGGGAAGGTCTTCTCCAACGCCACCGGAGACGACTCCTGCGACGGATACTTCAAGTTTAAGGTCAACGTCACCACTGCGCTTGTGTTCAGGAATGTTGAAATGAGGGGGACAGTAAACATCCCACAAAAGATGATTTAACTGTATTCATCAAAGTGTCAGAGAGGATTGTGAAGCCCTTTTTACAGATGGTCAGTGCTAACCCACTAGCTCAATGAATGACCAGAGAGAGAACAGCGAAAGACCAAAGAGAGATAATAGGCCCGTCCCAATTCTGAGGGCACTCGAGTTGTGAGTGCCCTCAACACAAGAGGGCCCTCCCCTAGGGGAGTGCACTCGCAGGATATTTTCCCTAAGAAATGGGACATCCTTGGATCTAGGGGACAATATGCAAATTGACGCAGCAAACGTGTTCCACTTCACACACAACATCGATATGTCTGATTTCACCACAGATAAGATCTGACACATATGACTTTATGTAACAAAGTATTTATTGAAGTGAGATGTTTTTATTTGTATTTCATATGAAGAAAATTAGCTATAATTAGGTACAGGACTGCTCCATATCACGCACGTATGCAGACACACGCGCGCACAGACACACACATACATACCTGCATACAGAGAGACACACGTACGCACGCACACACACTCACAGACAGAGACAGACATACATACCTACACACACACACACACACACGCGCGTGTACGCACACAGAGACAGACGAGTACCTCACTTGCGCGCTAGGGTGGCTTTTAAGGGTGTGAGGGCCCTCGCCTCTTCTCCCTAAGTATTGGGACACCCTACAACCCGCGCAGGCACGAACAAAATCTAGGGCAAGGGTGAGAATTGGGACGGGCCCAAAGACTATCTAGAGCAGGGGTCCCCAACTAGCGACACCAATCCGGGTCCGGACCCCGAGGACCTTTTCTCTGGACATCCAACAATTTGGGCAAGAGGGCGGCTATGTACTTAGCGGGATCCTTTGGCGTAAACTTTACGGAGCTGTCAAAAAAAACTTTGGCTGGTTCGAAATCATGCTCTAAATCCGATTGAAGAGTCGGGAGTGAGCCCACTGTACGCACAAGTTTAGCTGCTCACACTGCGGGAGACGCGAGCACAGCTGCAAGAGCCAAATGTTTTGTCCAAATGTTCACATCAGATATTATAACATATTATAAAAGCATTAGCCAATAGTGTATGTAACATCCACTGCACGGGCAGTGGATTTTGGGTAAGCACAAAATGCCTTTTTGAGTGTAGGCTGCAATGACAAAAATTTTATTTGATGGAAAAGGACCTCAACAAAAATAGTCTGCCAGATCCTCTTATCATCCACCAGTGATGGCAGTGAAGGGAATAACGGCACTAACGCTGTTACTTTTTTCAGTAACAAGTAATCTAACTAATTACTTTGACTGTCACTAAAACGCCGTTATCATTGTCGACACCTCGTTACTGCCCGTTACTCAAGTCGCACAATTAACTTTTATTTAAACTTCATGATAGGACTCGTGTGCGTGTTGACATGAAAGAAGGGAGGGAGGATGAGATAACCTCTCAGCAATTATTGACTGATGTATAGTAAGATTACGTCTTCAGGCAATCAGAGAAATTGGGTAGGTGGGTGTTTCCGCATTCACAGTGGCGGGTGTTTAGTGCTTACAGCACACTGAGTGAGATGGACAGTGAGGAGGACTCCAGCAGCAAAACAGCCTTTTCCAGATGGAAATATCGGCACTATTTCAAACTCACTGATGTTAAAGGGAAAAATGTACACGTCGTGTGCTCATTATTTTCCAGAATGAAACATTTGTCCACGTCTTGTGTTGGCAACTCCAACTTAATGAAGCACCTGTCGACGGCTCATGCTTCAACCAAATTAGTGGCCCAAGAATACACTGGTAGTAGGGGGGCTAGTGTTGACAAAGGATCCGCTAACAAGGAAGGACCCTCACCATGCAAGCAAAAAAAATTGACGTTAGTGCCTCTGCTCCCCAGAAACTATCTCAGGAAGATGCGTTGTGGCTTATGAAACACGCTCTGAGAAGGTGGGGGCCAGGGAGGGGGGGGGGGTTACGGGGGCGAGAACGTAACGCAACAGTTACTTTTACTGGTAACTAGTTCCTTTTATTGTGGAGTAACTCGGTTAGTAGTCGGCTGTTTCCTGCTTCTCAAGAGAGCAGTCGTGTGTCTCTCTGCTCTGCTTTTGCTTCGCCTTTCAATCTCCTTGAATCATTTTATTTACATTTTTTGTTTCTCCTTTAATCATTTCATTTACAAAACGAGGATTACTCCTTCTACACACTTCAGCTTTGTGGAATTTATCAACTTTAGTCATGTCGGGACGAAAGAGACGGAGATGCGTCTGCGGCGGCTGTTGTGCTCTGGAATATCAGCTCAAATCTCTTCAAACATGGATATCCATTGTGGCAACAGAAATGGGACTTAACCCGACTCTTCCAATGAGTGAAAATGGGATGAATTGACAGACTGGAAATGTAAGTTATGACGTCATTTCTTTTCCCAAAATCAACAATGAGAATTATTGGAACAATAGTGGAGCTAAACCCAAAGTTGACAAAGCTAAGAATGACAATAGGAGTGAAATAAGGCCACAACTAAATGTTCTGAAGACTTCAAACCGCTTTTTCCCCCTTTCTGAAACTACAAAGCCGCTAACAACTGCAGCGCCTCCACCAAGGACAAACTGTGTCCTTATCGGAGATGGTTCGGTGAAAAATGTAAACATGGAGTCCATGCTCACTGTCTCAGTTCACTCTGCAAAAGTTGCTGAGATAAGGACTCTTCTGCCTAAAGTGTTATCTGAGAACAGTGGTGTGCGTACATTATTGATCCACACGGGGGCGGTAGATATCTATGAGAAGGCAAGTGAGAAGTTACGAATGGATTTAACGCTGTTACTGGATGACCTCAAGAAAATGGACATACCAATTTTTCTTAGTGGACCACTTCCAAATATAGATGGAAAAATTGAGAAGTTTAGTCGTCTGTATCAGCTAAATACATTCCTACTCAATGAGTGTTCACGCAGAGGACTTGGCTTCATTGAAAACTTTAATCTGTTCTGGAATAGGCACGAGCTTTTTGAAGAAAAAGGTCCACATCTGAACAACTACGGAGTAAAAGTGTTGATGGATAACTTTGCATCTGCCCTAAGACCTCAGCCTGCGCAGCGCGTCGAGCCGTCGAAAGGGAGAAAGAAGAAGCAAAGGGCACAGACATCACGACCATCTCCACCGACTCCTGAGGTCTCTGCACCCCCACCGCCTCAAAAGAACTCAACACCTCCACGATTCAAGAAGAACTCAACACCTCTAAGGTTCCAAAAGAACTCAACACCTCCACGGCTCCGAAAGTGGTCAACGCCTCCACCACCAGCATCATCAGCAGCTGCCACATCTTCATCAGCGCCATCAGCATATACAGCAGCACCAGAAGCAGTGGATACAGCAGCAGCAGTGGCTGCTCCATCATCTTCAGCAGCAGCAGTGGCTGCTCCATCATCTTCAGCAGCACCTTCCCCACCTACAGCTCCCGTGAAGCTTCCCCCATTGCTCCAGGCTACAGTCAGGCCTGTACTGGGGGTTCCTCAACCACCTCTGTCTCCACCAAAGACTCCCTCATCACCTTCCATGGACCCGGCTTGGGTCCCCCCCGCTACATCCACTCCATCTAGGGAAAATGAGGACGACCTTTCCCTTTGTTTTCTATCCCCGCCTTCACTACTGGAATTACCGGAACACTCTGCAGGCATGATAAGATCGGCGATGAAGACTATTCCTCTCACACCCACTGTAGCCAGATCAAGAGTCCTATCTAACATTCAAAACTACTCCCCATACGTACCTCCAAAGCCACCTAGGGCGTCCAACTCAAATTCTCCCTCAAAATCCACCCGTCCCTCCTCTAACCCCATAAGTATTCCACCCCCCCCCCTCCTGCTCATTTAGCCCACCTCTCCCCTAGCCCAGCACCAAAAACCCATCCACCTTCAACCCCCCCCGTCCAACTCCCAAGAAGCACCCGCCTCTCCATCCTCTTCCCCCGCCTTCCCCTTCCCCTCTTTTCTCTAAACACTAGGATGCACAGGGTCTCTGCTTCGCAGCCACTGGCAGTCTAGTTAGAGGAGAGACCCGGCTGGGGCCCTGTCATGAAGCCACCTGTGCCATTCCCTTAGTGATGACACAAAGAATACATTACAGAAAAACGTCTGAAGTTATTCAGTCTAATCAGGAAAATCTAATTCTTGTTCCGTGTAAGAATCAGCCGACCACAACCGCTGATCCTGAAACTTTGAAACTTGCTATGCTAAATGTCAGATCTCTTTGTAACAAGTCTTTTTTAATCAATAATTGTATTTGTTCTTATAATCTAGATCTTATGTTCATGGCTGAAACATGGCTTGACCAAAATACAGAAAATGCAGTTTTAATAGAAGCATCACCACCAAATTTCAAATTTGAATCTGAAATACGGGAAAACAAAAAAGGAGGAGGCTTAGCTGCCATTTTCAGAGACCACTTTGTCTCCCATAGAATGTCTCTTGGGAAGTTTTCGTCATTTGAATATGTGTCTTTTAAAATACAACAAAAACAATCTCCTCCAATACTTTTCGTTGTCCTATACAAGCCACCGCAGTCATGTCACAGTTTTATTGATAATTTTACAGAGTTGCTTTCAGTTGTATGCACAGATTTTGATAGCTTAGTTATTACAGGGGATTTTAATATTCATGTGGATAATGTTATTGACAGAAATGCAAAAGAGCTGAGTTCTGTTCTTGAATCTTTTTGTCTCACTCAGCATGTGAGTGGCCCCACCCACAGCAGAGGGCACACTCTAGACCTGTTAGTTACAAAGGGGGTGAATATTTCTAATGTAAACATGGTCGATGTTGCGCTTTCGGATTATTTTTGTGTATTTTTTCACATGTGTTTCACTAACAAACCACCAGTGGACTCTGTGTGACCGCAGGGCCCTGGTATAATGGTGGGATGCAACAAGTAATTGACCAGACACAAATTATACAATTTTGAGCAATTTATTTGGCGAAATGAGACCTAAGAAATAGGAAAATATATGTTTTTATTTCATTGTATTAAATGTAATCATT